GAACTCATGCGGAAGTGGCTTCAGACTCTCAGTGCTGTGCTTTAACCCGCTGGCCACCAGGGAGGGCCGGGACCACTGTGTTTTAAAGTTGTCATTTTTAATATTTAAAAGTTCAGGTTAACAAAATACATACCAGTCATGTCTACTTGCCTAGTGCATTTGTCTGATAACAGTAGTGTCCTGACTTTCCTATCCAGAGGTGAATAATCATTCATGTTAATTTCTTATGTATTTTTCAAATTATAATCTGTGAATATTAATTACATGACCCTTTTTCTTAGGTATGTATTTCCAAATGGTCAGATACTCAAGCTATCGTGGTAGTTAGTACTTGTGGAATACAGGCTGTTGACATTAGTAATTTGTTTAAGAGCCTGGATTTTGGGCCCTCCCTGGTGGCATAGTGGGGTAAAGTACAGCAATACAAAGCTGGGTGAGCCGTGTTTCATCCCTGGCCAGGGAGCAGACCCACATGGCGTGGCAGACCTCTCCTGACCAGCCTGCTGTTCCCCTCAGTAGTGTACTTCCTACATCTGCCTGTTCTACCCCCCACACCTCTGACCTGTACCCCAGTTCTGTATGCATAAATAAATAAATCTTTTTAAAAAAAAAAAAGAGCCAGGATTTTGCAGGCAGGCTTTATCTGAGTTTATTAATTCTGTCTCTGTCACTTGGGACAGTTGAAAGTTAAGATTCAACCATTTCTCTTTACAAATTTCTTTATCCTTTATAAGGATTAGAGGGGATGATGCATATGAAAATGTTGGCACCTAACAGATGCTCAATAAATAGTCTTACAATAAAGAAATAATACAAGGAAGATTAGAACTTCTAGTTTCTAACTGCCTATTCTTTGTAAGATGTAGCCACTAAAATTATTTGCAGTGTTATTTTGGATGTATTTATGGTACATGTTGTATATTTTGTCTTATCTCTGCCTATTTTATGTATTTTTGAATTTTTAAACCATTTATTCATACCATACTTACTAGAACTGTTAGTAATTTGATTTCTATTTCTGTAGCTCATTTGCATTCTTAGTAAAACCAAAGTGATTCTGAAATCAAAATTATATTATTTAGTTAAAAATAAATGAATAGGGCCATACCTGGTGACGCAGCGTGTTAAATCACAGCACTGAGAAGCTAAAGCCACTTCAGCATCAGTTCAATCCCTGCCTGGGAGGTGATCCACATGGTACAGCAGGCCTCTCCTGGCCTGCCCGCTGCTCCCCTCAGCTGTGTACTTCGTCAGTCGGCCTGTTCTGCTCCCCACTCTGTCTCTGGTGAACCCTCTCACCACCCCTGCACCTCTGGTCTGTACCCCAGTTCTGGATACATAAATAAATGAATCTTTAAAAAAAATGAATAGAGATTGGCTGCTCCTTTTATTAAACTGGTCTGGAATTGGGAGCAGATACATTTTTTCTAATTGTAGAAAACAAGTATAAAACGTAACAGATTTCAGGCCTTTTTTTAAAAAGACTTATTTATGGATATAAGAATTGGGTATAGGCCAGAGGTACAGGGTGGTGGTGGTGGTAGTAAGAGAATTCACCAGGAAGCAGAACAGGTGGATGAACTGAAATACGCTGCTGAGGAGAGCAGCAGTCAGGACAGGAGAGGTCTGCTGCACCATGTGGGTCACCTCCCTGGCCAGGGATCAAACACATGTTGCAGTGGCTAGCTTCATAGCGCTGCACTTTAACCCCTTGCACCACCAGGGAGGGATCAAGGCCTATTTTGAACTAATGCTCTTTTTCAGTAGTTTTGGTCAATATTTTGTGTGTGTGTGTGTATACAGTTTTGAAAGTAAAAAATAACTTTTTTTTTTTTTTTTTTTTGCTATTTGTTATAGGAAACGAGATTATGAAGGCTATTTATGCTCCCTGCTGTTCCCTGCAAAATCCAGAAGCTCTGCTTTTGCACTGAGGGCCTTCAATGTGGAACTGGCTCAGGCTGGTATTAAAATACCTTTAAAAATTATTTGCGGCCCTCCCTGTTGGCACAGCGGGTTAAAGCACTGCACAAAGAAGCTGAAACCACTTCCTCATGAGTTCGATTCCCGCCTGCCCCAGAGGTGACCACATGGTGTGGCAGACCTCTCTTGACCCGCCCGCTGCTCCCCTCAGCAGTGTGCTTCGTCGATCTACCTGTTCTGCTCCCCACTCTATCTCTAGTGAAGTCTTTCGCCACCCCTGAGTCTCTGGCCTGTACACCAGTTCTGTATGCACAAATAAATACTTAAAAAAAAAGTTATTTGCAAAAGTGACACTACCCTGTGTTAAATGCTGAACAGTAAAGAAAATTTGTGTTAATTTATATGTTAGATATGTTTAAGGTCTCTGCTCATGATGTTTTTCTCCTGCTATTTAGCCAACTCCAAATATGAAATTAGCTAATGAACTTAATATTTCTGGAAATACCATTCTGGAACTTTACATTCTTTTTCTAAGGATATTATAAAATTATGCAGCTAACATTGTACATTTGTCTGTTAATTGAATAAGTTAATAAGAACATTATTGCTTATCCTTTCTAACAGTTACATAATTTGCATGTATATAGCAATTTTTTTAAAGTAGTTGAGGCTTTAGTTGTAAAGTGAAATGGAGAACAGAAGCAATTAACCCAAATGCAGATCTTAGATGATACCTACTTTTGTTTAAAGAATTACAAAGGATGAAGCTCATTATACTTTCTCTTGGATTAGAGAGACACATGTTTTTCTCTAAATTGAAATTGAAGTGGAGAGTGGAATCAAGGGAATTAAAGTAGAATGGCCTTGAAATCAGTGCATGAGTCAGTAACTGTGAGTAAGGGAGCACAGGAAGATTTGTAGTTTGAAGAGAGAGGCACTTGTTGACAACTTCTCTAGTAACAGTAACTAGTAAAATGTGAACTAGGAATGAATAAAGAAAGCGAGTGTGAGGTTAGAGATTATTAATCTGCTGAGAGTCTTATAGACTCTGGTTATTTTTCCTTGGGGTATTTCTAGGAGTCAGGAGTCCACATTTTTTTCACATTATCCCTTTTAAGATTTATTCATCCGTGCTTACAGAACTGGGTACAGGCCAGAGGTGGAGGGGCCAAGAGAGGATCCACTAGAGACAGAGTAGGGAACAGAACAGGCAGATTGACTGAAGTACACTGCTGAGGGGAGCAGCTGGTGGGGCAGGAGAGGTCTGTTGTGCCTTGTGGGTCACCTTCGGGGCGGGGGATTGAACACTGAAGCAGCTGTGGCTTGCTTGTAGTACCATACTTTAACCCACTGTGCCACCAGGGAGGGCCCTAAAACTCCACTTACAAAAAATACTATGACCCTTTAGGGATCTCCTGCCCCTTCCCACCCCCTCTCCAAAATCTCCATCACTTTTTAAGTGGTTCACTGCTACTCTACACACAGTCTTGTTTGCTTGCTCATTCACTCAGCAACTTGATTTCCTAAAATACTTATTTTAGGCCCTGGGGATATAGCATTGAATAAAGCATACTGAGTCCCTGCACTCAGGGAACAAACCAGTGCTGTGGAGAACAATTAAGGGGGATAGAGAAAGCAACGTGATGTTCCTATTTTATGTAGGGTGTTGAAAATTCCTATTGAGCAGTGGTTTTGAGCCAATATGTGAAGGAGGCAATAGAATGATATGTATGGGTTAAGAGACACAAGTGTGCCTTAAAGAAAAGAAGACCATGTATGGTACAGTAAAGGAGGGAGGAAGTGCTTGGGATGAGATTAGGTTACAGGTATCTGCACCAGAGAGGAACGCCTTAGAGATTATGGCAACCACTTCAGCTCTTACTCAAAGGGGAAACCATGGAGAATTCGGAGCAGAAAAGAGCATCATCTCTTTGTCATATTTTAAAAGGACTACTCTTGTTGATTATATAAAGAGTTTTAGAGTATCGTGACTCTGTCACAGCACTTACCCTTACAAACTTTGAGTTTGTATTTTGTAAGACTAAGAATATTGTTACATAACCCCAGTACAGTTTAGTTTGAGGAAATTTAACATCGACATAGTATTTTTATGATCTGCTGTCTGGTTTCCAGTTTTTATGAATAGTCTAGTGATGTCTTTTATGGATTTTTCCTTTTTGTACAAGATCCAATCAGGATCAGGTACTGGATTTAGTTTTCATGTCTTTTTAACTTCCTTTAATCCAGATCATTGACAACCTTCCTTTGTCTTTTATGACTTAAAACAATACTATTCTTTCAAAAATTTTTCATTTGGGGTTTGTTTTATTTTTTGTCATGGTTAGATTCTGCTTACCTAACTTAATAGTATTTAAGTGATATATGTCCTTTTCAGGAACTCAGAGGAGGCATTAAGTACTCTTCTGTCTTATTGGTGATCATTTTGGTCACCAGTCAAGGTGGAAATACTATTTTCTTCACTGTAATAAGCAATCTGTGAGGAGACATTTTTTTTTTAAAGATTTATTTATTCATACAGAACTTGGGTACAGGCCAGAGATGCGGAGGGTGAGAGGATTCACCAGAGACAGAGTAGGGTACAGAACAGACAGATCCACGAAGTACACTGCTGAGGGGAGCAGCGGGTGGGTCAGGAGAGGTCTGCCACGCCATGTGGATCTCCTCCGGGGCAGGCAGGAATCGAACCCATGCGCGAGTGGCTTAAGCTGTGCTGTGCTTTAACCCGCTGCGCCACCTGGGAGGGCCCTGTGAGGAGACATTTTAAAAACATGCTCTTTATTGAAATTTACCTCCTAGATTGAGCATTGATGAGTCTTGTCTGAAGTTATCAAGGCCAATCTTAATCACTAGTGAACTGAGGCACATAGTCTAGTAATCTTCTCTTCAAAAATCACTTAGTGGGTGAATGAATGACTTTTTAGATGTACATACAATAAATATGGATGGAAAGATGACTATTGTATATCATTCTATAGATTTTTAAAAAGTGCAATCATATAGTCACTACCAAAGCTATGATACAGAACTATTCAGCCACCACAAATTCCCTCATCTTCTCCTCTGTAGTCATCCTGTTCCCTCACCATTATACTTTTGCTTAGCCTTCTACTTCCATTATAAGAGCTATGAGTATATATAGCATGGGATAAATAACCACCTTGAACCATAATTTGCATATTTGGCTGTATTGGCAATGACCCAGTGCATTTGTTACAGAGATTAGGATCACATAATCTCTGGAGCAGCCCTTAGCACAGGGCCTGGCACTTGTAAATATTTTCCTTCCCTGGTTTTATTTCCTTATCTTCAGACTTAAAAGTATTTTTGCTATCAATAACCTACTGACGGTAGTTTTTCTTCTACTTATTTTTAAAACCTTTTTATCATGGAATATTTCAAAGAATTAGAGAGTGTAATATAGTGACCTGCCAGAAGCCAGCCAGGTCAATCTTTTGTTTTCATTTCTGTTTTACCCACCCCAATTCCACCTCCAGATTACTTTGAAGTAAGTTTCAGAAAAATTTTCCATACATATTTCAGTATGTATCTCTAAAAGATAACACAAAAGGAAATCCTACAAAACCGTTACCTTCCATTAAGAATTTAATAATTCCTTAATATCATTAAATAATCAGTGTTCAGATTTCCTCAATTTTTTCTCCTGCAATGGTTGGTCTGTCTCTTAATTTTTTAAAAATCTAACTGTTCCCTCCTCTCCTCTTCATTGCTATCTTGAGAAATCCGTTTTTGGATGCAGACCTAGAAAATAAGCACCAAGTAATTTGCAGCTCTTACTTAGGAAACTATTAGTGACAACAGTTAACTGAAAATTTAAACCACGTGTGATTAAACTTGGTTTTTGGCTGAGTTACGGGATATACAGTCACAAATAATGATTTTCAAGAGTATAAACCTTTCATTTGTTAAATTTTTAAATCCTATTTATAGATTAAAGACTCAATCTCTGAGAAAACAATTGGATTGATGCGAATGCAGTTTTGGAAGAAAACTGTGGATGACATATACTGTGACAATCCACCACATCAGCCTGTGGCCATTGAACTATGGAAGGTAAAGAAAATTGCTGCTTTTATTTTGTAAATGTTATTTGAGTCAATTTTTTGATGTGTACAGTTTGGATAGTGGCAATGAGGAATACAGCCTAGATCTGTTCTTAGACACATGTAATGTTCAAATCTAACATCTTAGTTTTAACTAAGGATTTTTAAATCACCTAGTAATTTGCACCGATCTTTGGTGTAATTTTTACTAAAGGAAAAAAGAGGATTCTTGTCTCTCTATTGTAAACTACTCACCTTCCTCAGATTAGGTTGTAAAATCTAAACCCTGTGGGTTTTGAAGCAATGACAGGTCAATTTCCTGTTCTTTCTGCCCAGTAACCCTTATTTGTAGTGCTTTAGCCCATATTCAAGCTGTAGAAAGACCTGCGTGGACTTTAGTGAAAGAAGATTTGCTCTTGCCATTGTCTAGACATAAATCTAAAATTGACGCATCTAATTTGAGAGACTTGCTATTTCTTTAAATACTAGAGAATGGGGGCCCTCCCTGGTGGCGCAGCAGGTTAAAGCACAGCACTAAGAAGCTAAAGCCACTTCTGCATGAGTTCAATTCCGGCCTGCCCCA